AGATGAGGAGCAAACATATGCCATATACGCCAGGTCCCTTGAAACATAAGCTGTGCAGATATTTCTGTGTCAAGCAGCAAGGGTGGACCGGCTTCCGGCAGTTTTGAATGGATGCTACATTATATTGGCATGACTGATTAAATCATTGGCCATTGGTAAATGAATTCAATCTCTAGCCAGGGTGTTGGACTGAAAGTTCCAACCCTCTACTCCTTTGGGTGGTTCCCCTGGCAACCATTTTGTTAGGGGCTTTTCAAAAGTCACTTTATTAACATAAACTCAAGTGTGGTTGTGTGGAGAAGAAACTTTCCTCCACCCTCTTAGCTTTTTCTAGCTGGTCCCGTAATCAAATAGACATGAGACAGATTAACAAAAGGAAAAATGACCAAATTTAATTACATATGTAGATACGGGAACCCCACATACATGAGATATATATGAGCTAAGGATGAGGTCATTCATTCTCAGGAGAATAAGAGTGGATGTTAGAACTCTGCCCCACCCTATAGATAGGTCATAAAAAGTTATTTCTGATGATGACTCTTATTATGGGTAAGACCCTTAATTTAACTTCTTTAAGGGAGAGGTAAAAGTTCCTTGTGAACCCTCAGGGTCTCAATTGCCTTCAGCTCAAAATAATTCACGTGCCCAAACATCACATCTTGGGGAGGCCTGTTCTGAAGTCCTTTAGTTGAAAGGGCCTTGTTATGAATACAAAGGATGCCCCTTTCACCCTTGTTGCTCTAGAGCTAGTTCAGGAAGTGCGGACAAAGCCAAATATTATAACAAAAGATTGCTCTTATCTTAGGAAATTACAAGGAATTTAGGAACTCTGTGCCAGGAGCCCTGATGAAGACCAAATATGTATTTCTTATTATATCACAACAAAATGTATCATATAGGGAAAGGGGGTTTTGGTCACACTGTGGCCAATGTTTAAAAGGTGGAGCTGTTACATGCAATATTAAAGACAAGCAAAAGGAGGGATCTGAAAGAGAAAATGAAAATACAAGGGGAAAGAATTGGAAAAGACACAAGAGACTCTTCTTTAGTGTGTGTGTGTGTGTGTGTGTATTTAGAAGCGTCCTTTTCTTTGGAGGATTTGTGTTTCTTTTGATAAAGAATGCCATTTTTCATTTTATTTTATTTTTTACTGTGGAGAGACACACTGTAAAATCATGGCCTTGGTTTATAAGGGGGACTCTCTTGGTCCTTTACTTTCCCATTGTTTTATAATGTTAAGTGTTGAAGGGTAGAAGAATAGGCCGCTTAAAAATATGTCACTGAAGCATAGGATTATTTTGAGTTGAAAGTAACTGAGAAGCAGCAGGATACATGAAAGGCTCTCTGTTCTCTATTTGTCTAAAAGCAGGACATAAACTTGTAGGGTGCTCCCCTCATCTCTCTACCAGTAAGAACAGAAGAACTCTAGATGCTTATCAGCCAGAGAAGGCACCAGAGGAATCCATCTAACAAATTTTACTAATTCTTACTTTTCATGAATTCCCTTATATATTTACTCACGACTTGCTCAAAGTCCTTTTCCTTTGCCTTGACACTTCCCTAAAAATACAATGCTTTTTTTTAAGGTGTTCTATAAGCCCAAGTTCTAACCATCCTTCTGAGTTACTCATAATTGAGTGTTCACATATATATGTGCAACACACATATTAATAGACATATTTTTGTTTTTCTCTTGTTAAATTGTCTTTTGTCAGTCTAATTTACAGGGTCAGTGAACTTAAGATGGGTAGAGGGAAAACAGTTTTTTCTCTTGTTAAAAGATAAACTGAGACATAGTAAAAATTTTAAGAGTTTATTTGAACAAAAATTAGTTCCAATTGGGCAGCATCCAATCTAGCAGACAGAAAGGAGCTCTGAGGAGCTGTACAAAACCAAAGACTTTTATAGCCAGAAGGGAGTGGTAATAAGGAATTTATATCAGGCAAAAAAAAAAGTGTGCTGTTTATTACAAGCTTACTTTCCTTTAGGCCAGGGGATGGCACAGGTCCTTTGGCAGATTACCTAGTTAGTGCTGATCATGTGATTCCTGATTGACTTGTTTAAAATTCCATTTCTGGGAGAGCTGAATCTGTAATTAAGTTAATTTTCAGTTTCGTGATGTGGGATTTAGCATAAGCAACTCCATTTTGGGTGTGTTGTCTTGTTTATAACACTTTTCAACAGCATTTTACTAATAAAACTCCTAAGGTCTATTGTGACTTCAGCTTCAACTTATAAATTTGATTTGCCCTTGAGAGCCACTCGAGTTGCAATCACTCCAGTGCCATCTTTTGTATGCCCCAAATATCGGGGCTCTGTGGTTTGGCCAACTTTTATTTTTAATTTATTTAGCAGAGAGAGAAACATCAATTTGTTCCACTTATTCATGCATTCATTCATTGGTTGCATCTTGTTTGTGTCCTGACTGGGATCGAACCAGCAACCTTGGATTATCAGGACGATGCTCTAACCAAGTGAGTACCTGGCCAGGGCTCCTTGGCTAACTTTGAAGTATTCAGAGAAATAGGGGAAGCAGACATAGATACCATGATGAATAATAATTAGTAATAGCTAATATTTACTGTACATTCACTGTTTTAATTACTATACTAGGTGTTTAATGCTTAACATCTAATTTAATCATCACAACATTATAACAACCTAGGTATTGTTACTTCCATTTTATAGAAAAGGAAAATGAGGCTGTCAGACTAATTTGTCCTATATTAGATCACTACTGAACAGCAGAATCAAGGCTCACATTCAGGATTGTCTGATCCTAGAGGCTGCACTCTTACCCACTATTCTGGACATGAATTTTTACATATATTACTATTCTAATTTAAACTATTGAAATTATTGAACCACTAGTATTAGCAATTTCCCATTGACAGATCAATCAAAAATGTTTCAATGATTATAGAATCACAAACTGAACACATAAAAAACATTTCATTTTCTTGCTGTTTTAAATCCACAAAGGCTTTTAGTTCATTCTATTGGTGTTTGACTTTGCAGGTCTCGGAAAAATATGCATTCTGGAGGTGAATTTGATGTTTTTCATCTCTTCTACTTTCCTGTGGCGATGCTAATGATGATATTTGACATGGATCAAAGGCACACAAAACATAAGAAAAAAA